TAAACAGGTTTGATTAGTGGCCATAGTTCCATTAAAAGAAGCTGCCTCAAGGCCAGAGCCCCAGAACAAGACTAACACTGAACAACAACTACCTTCTCCTTCGCTTACAGTTAGTTTTGCTGCTATATCTACTTTAAGGGTGGGGTCAAAAGAGGTGTGGTCATGTAGTTATAAAAAGGTGGGGCTGAGTCTGCACTGCGCTGCATGCAAGAGCATGTACACAACACAGCACACAAAATCAATGAATCCAGCCTGATTACAGCATTGATACAATCTGAAAAGTATCAAAACACTACAATACACCAAAAAAGTGAGTTTATGTTATTATGTGAACTGATGTAGCATTAATTAAATTTTTATCCTCAATTTCTCTTTATTTTTAGGTACGGGATCAATTCAAGAGTTATGATTTTGGGAAACGAGAAACTGAGGAACTCTGAAGACAAAAGGAAAATGGTAATCCTATTATCCTTTACTTTATGGAAGTAGTTAATTAACTATTTGTGTTTTATAATGAAGTGAACTCAACCAATAATGAAGAGCTCCCAAGGGAAGCAACCCCAGAACAAATTGATACAGGTCAAATGGATGGAGTACGAGAAACTTGTCACTCTACAAGGACTAGACCCCCTATTAATAGGTATGCTCCTTCCTCAGAATAAGGAGGAAGGAATTGTAATGTATTAATCATTGATCATAATGTTTATTACTATTATTGTTATTATCATTGTAGTTGTTGTTATTGTTAATGTATTGTATTATGATTTCTATAGTTATTATTAAGTGTATAGTGTTTAGTTATTAGTAGTTATTGTTATCACTATTATATATACACTGCACTGTCGACTTTTTATTCATGCAATTGTAATTATAACATAACTCTTTAACTGCCAAAAAAACCCTGCTGTATACTATAGCTGCTTCAAACACTCCCAGATATAACAAGACATAACAATTTTAATGAATCCTCAACAGCAAGGATACCTATTTGATACATATTTCTGATACATCAATATGTATCAGAATACATTGAACTATGGTATGATTACATTAGCATATTGTACATGTACTTATTGTATTATAAATAAATATTATTATTATTCTCTTATCCCTTAACTCCAAATGGTTGCCAGTTATGAGGAGAGATGATGGAGAGATTGAGTCCTTTTCATTTGATATTAGTAAATTTGATCGTGTGGATATACTTATTGTATTATAAATAAATATTATTATTATTCTCTTATCCCTTAACTCCAAATGGTTGCCAGTTATGAGGAGAGATGATGGAGAGATTGAGTCCTTTTCATTTGATATTAGTAAATTTGATCGTGTGGATATAGCTAACTCACTGTGGGGACTATCAACTAATGACGTTAATGAAGAACTAACTAGTGAAACTAAATAAAATTAAATAAAAGTTTATTTATGAAATCATTTTAAAATTATTAAATAGCGAATAATTTTTGCAGGATTACAATTTACAAAGTAAAAATCAAACCAATCCATTTCATTCAGTTCCATTATTAATATCTCATATATTTCTATGCTCATGCTTTGATTTGCATTCCCTAATCCTCTTCAACCTACAATAAACAATGAGTATAATACTAGTGTAATGTGTACGGTATTGTATTAATGGAAATATTGTACATGTACATATATTTATAACTCTCAAGTAGTAGAGCCTCTATGCAGTTAAGTCTTAATAAGAACCCAGCTATGCATGCAAAGTGGTGAAAACAATTATTGGAATAATTCTTCCACTAATGAATTTTGAGATCACGTAACATGAGGTTACTGACCTTGCTTTCTCTGCCTCTTGTATTTCTGATCTCTCATTATCTGTTAACTTCTTCATTCTCTCTCTATTGTCTCTAAATAATTATAAACAGTAAGAGGTGTATGTAAGTGTGTGTGTATACATAATGTGTGTGTGTGTTCATTAGTACTTGTAATGCATGACATATCCATCCTTATTATATACTCCTAATGAGTATCTGTCTGAACTGATGGAATACCATTTCAACTCATTCTCAATATCTAGACATGATATCTCAACTGGAAATGATTGACCCTATAATCAGAGAGAGAGTATCTTTAATATGTTTTAATGACTAACCTCTGTACAATAGATATACTCAGCAGGAACTCCACTTAACTCTGACAGCTGTAAAGGAATAATATAATGTGATACTGATACATGTTCTCTATTATTACAATTATGATTATTTCAAATATTACACGTACTTTTCCAATAACATGCTTAGGATCATTATTATCCAGTATAATTTCTTCTATTGGATCAACTGAACATTGTGATGGACGCCATCTTATAACATACACCTGTCTCTGTGCATACTGCTTCTTCTTCTCTGGTCCTGATACAATATAATTAATATACACACGTACTAACATTCAACTGGCATCATAAAAGTACAGCACAATATACTGACCTTTTAATGGTTCCACATACATTCCCTTCCTATAAGCATCAAGCAACTCATGATCAAGATATATTCTAGCAGGGTACACTCCCCTCTTGTCACGTAATCTCATTCTACACAATGAGTCACATGATAGTCACATGATGTACTTACTTGTCTAATTCAAGGACACAGTCAATTCCTTGTACTTTTGCTTCTTCAATAATTGTTTCTTAAATTCTCTCACTGGTGTACCGTTAGCAACAATAGACTCCATCATATACTTACAAAACTAATAAATAAAATAAAATATAAATTAATCATAATAATTAATATTCTATACCTCTGTATTATTAACTTGTAATAAATATAATTTAATTCTTTCCTCTCCTTTTTGTAATACTGCTCTACCCAGTCTTACTATCAACTAGTAGATACACAAAGTAATAAAAAGATGAGTGTGTGTGTGTTATTAGTACTTATAATAGTATATAATGGAAAGGAGAAGTGAATCAAATAACACAATAAACTATACCTCTGATCCAGATCTAATATACTGTAATGTCTTATCCAGTCCCTTCATTTCATATTCTTTATTACCACTGATTCTATACACTATAAAACCAGTAGGTGGTACCCCAATCAGTAGAACTAGCTCCTCCTTCAATTGAGCTAATGTTATTCTCTTATCAACTTGTACCTGTATCTCTGTATTGAATAATATAATATTAATACTGATCTTTTTATTATAATACAAGTTAATATTTACTTCTTTCTTTTCCATTATTTTCTTCATTCATTGATATAATTTTCATTATTATTCCTCTTTTAGTAACGTTAGTTGTAGTGGGTGTGGCTTCAGGTCCAGGAGCCAGAGGTAGTGTAATGTTCAGTAATATTGAGCTGACGTGAAAATCAACAAATTTGTATATCAAACTATCTTTGAATTCTTTTTGATAATCTTTAGGATCTGATGATACATACAACTGTGTGTGTGTGTGTGGAGAACAATAGATGGCATAAATACAAAAAAACACCATATAGCGGAAAATTTTTGTGGCCCAAAAATTTCACGGATCCATTCAAAAATCTTTAATTTTTGTGGATCCATTCAAAAATCTTTAATTTTTGTGGATCCATTCAAAAATCTTTAATTTTTGTGGATCCATTCAAAAATCTTTAATTTTTGTGGTTTTCTACTTTTTAGCCATCTTGAACCGTATTGAATCAATTTTCACGGATTTTATATTTTCTTAGATTTTTTAAATGCAACATCCACAAAAATTTTGGGCCATGAAAATTTTTTGCTATATGGTAGTTAACTACTATATAAGGTGAAATATTGCTAGCCGGAATTAATAAAGGCAGGTTAGTCACAAAATAAAACCACACCAATGATTTCATTACTTGTTTGTATCTGCGACTAATGATGAGTATCTCTCTTAGAGTGCCTCCTACATCACTAATATCACGGACTGAAGTATTGTAACCAAAGTAATATTTTTCCTCCTCCATTACTATTCTCATACATGATGATTTGATATTAAATAACTAAATAAAGAAATGGACCAGATCAATGAAAGGAGAACAATATAAATGACAGCTATATCTTTCCTCTTACTTCTCCTATATGTTGTTTTAATTCTTCAACAGTCCAACTTCTTTCTCCTGTCACTAGTTTAGCTGGTCCTACTTCACCAGTTGACAGATCAACCACTGATACCTTTAGATTAATACCTACACCATCAAACACATGTAC